GAGAGGAGAGAGAGAGGAGAGAGAGAGGAGAGAGAGAGAGGGAGAGAAAGGAGAGAGAGAGTGGGGAGAGAGAGGAGAGAGAGATGAGAGGGAGAGAGAGAGAGAGGAGAGGGGGAGGGAAGAGAGGGGGGAGGGAGAGAGAGAAAGAGAGAGAGGGAGAGCAGAGGAAATTTTAAAAAGGCAAGACTTGGCAGAGCTCAGTCGCATCAGCCTCTTTTGTCTGTTTCTCGGCTTGAGCTTCAGAAAGAAAAACGTCCTGGGATACTCACAACTTTTTGGTTTTCAAACTTAGAAGGCTTTTGAAGTCTCTTGGGCCGTTTGAGAGTGTTGTTTCTTACTATGACATTTAGTCACCAGCATTTAGGAAAGAAAAAAAAAAAAGCCTGTTTCAAAAAAGGCATCCTCCCCAGTGTCCATACATTTGGGAAATAATGTATTTGATTTTATTTTTTTTTTTGCATGTATGATCATGAACATGAGAAACAGAATTACTGTAGAAGATGGCAAGGAGAGTGTCTAATTAGAAGGAATTGTAGTTTTCTACAGAATAAACATTGCTCATCAATACAAACCTGCTTTCAAATCAAATCAGACATCCTCGGAGTTATGTTCGGAATGGCAGCTTCTAGACTTAAATACTTTCATTTTACTTAATCCCCCCTCCCCCCATTTCTAGAGATTGAGTTTTCAAGGAGTTTTTCTAAGATTTTATGGCAACCTGGCCAGGGAGGGAGTCTGAGTCAAAGTTGTTTCATCCATGTGTTTGAGAAAACGGTCTCTTCAAGCCCCAGCTTTGATGTCTTCAGCTTCATGCCGTCCTAAACTACACCCCCAGCAATTAGTGACAATACCGAAGACCAGGAAGGCAAGCTGAAGACACCCGACTTCGCTTGAAGGGCAAACAGGAACTGTGAGCTTGGTCATTATTTTTTTTTTTTGTGTGTGTGTGGTGTGTGTGTGTCTGTCTGTGCATGCGCGCGCGCATGTACGCGTGTGCGTGTCTGTGTGTGCATGTCTGTGTGTGTGTGTGTTCTCGTGTGTGTCTTTCTTGAACCGTTTTGGGGAGGTGGGTGGGGAGGTGGGTGGGGAGGTGTCTGTGCAGGATGTTTGTGGTCGGTGAATTCGCGTGGAGGAAAGGAGCAAAGGTAATTTTTATGATGCTGGCAGAAATGGCTGGAGTGGTAGAGAATAGAAATGTAAACCTTTGGGGTAAGAAGCTGTGAGCTGTATATGAGATAGCCAGAGGGAATAAATTTCAGCAGTTTTGAGTTGACTAAGGTTTTATTCAACAATTCTGTATCTTATCTCTCTCAAAATGTTTTTTTTTAATGTAGCAAGTTGATCGATCTTCTTTTAAAATTCTACCCAGTGTTATCTAGATATATATACTTTTCTATCTAATTTCTTATTAATAAATACTTGCTATGAGGCCTGGTTGTGGTGGATTGTGTGAGAGTTTTGCTCTTAAACATCAGCGTTATAATAGGGGAGGCTCACAGGCAGGGACAGGTTTTTGTGGATCATCCTAATTGCCAGCAAGTATTCTATTTCTAAAAAAGAGAGTTGGAGCTGTGCGATTAGAGGACGAGCCCTGCTATCCTCACTTTCTTTTTACTCTGTGGCCTGAGAGGATACTGGAAATCAGCTATATTCGTATAAGTGCCGATCATTTGGGGCAGTCTCAAAGATGTTCTGAGACCCATGCTTTTGTTTTGCATTTGTAACCATCTATTTGTAATCCTCTGACAAAACCAAATTGTTCATTGTTTCCTGTCAATGCGCGCCTTCAACGATCGATTGTTGAGGATGGTTTTTATAAAAGTATAGAGGCACACCAGCCATTCTGGAAATGACATTTAGTGCGCAAATATGATTTTAAAGCACACAAGTGCAGGTGTGTGAAATTAAAAGCTAAAGTATTTTCTTCCACCTCTTAAAAGAAACAAACAAACTAACCGACATCTTGATGTTTAATAAAGCGAAATCGTACAGTATTTACGTGGGTTTCCAACACAACCACCTTTGTTATATAAGCTCTTTCATCTACTCTTTTCTAATACTCCTAAAATGGATGCTGAGCCAAGGGCAGAGTGATGGGCGCTGGAAAGGGGTGCTTACATGACCAGACACAGAACATTCAAGTCCACACTGAAGACCACAAGGAGTGAAAAGACAGTCCAGTGGATCAGCTCGGATCCCCCAGCTTGGATCCCCAGCTCGGATCCCCCAGCCATCCTCTTAGCTTCGCAGCCATTTAATATACCTTGTTGCCACTGTGGATTGCTAAGGGTGCAGCTTATTTGGTGTAAGAACATTTCCCCCCCTTTAAGTTAAGAGAATTATTATCTGCAAGTTTATTTCTTAGCTTCTTTGCAGCGAATTCAGTAAAAGAACAAACTTGATCCAAACTATTATAGGACCAATTATTTTGACCAAAATAATAAAAGTAAGCAAATTAAAAAACAAAGATGTTAGAATACACCTTAAGAAATACTAGTTTTTTGATAGTACTAAAACTGTATTTTATATTGTAACTGTGCTTCAGATTTGGTAAATATTAGTCGCTTTACCCAACAAAGTTTCTTACCAATACATTCTGTCTGGCCTACTTGCTAAGTATCCTAAAACGAAAAATGTTCCCTGTTAGCGTGTTTGCTGTTACCTGGGTATTAACAACTCCCCCTCAAGTAAGGTTTTCATATAGCTCTAGTTAAGAAATTGTATTGATAAAGTTTTCTATAACGAACAATTCAACTTAATATACGCTTCTTTTGATCCTTTAGACAACAAACACATCAGCATTTGTTAACTAGTTCTGTAACTTAGGAGCATCAATAGTTTAATTCTTAACATATCTAAAGACTGTGCCCTCCTTAGGCACACACACATCACATTTGAACTTGTATTCTATTTAATTAAGACAGAAATGGGTTAATATTTTATTGTTTCCCCATGACTCTTCTAAAGTTCCATTTCAGTGTAGATACCTAAATATCCAGGCACACTGTTCCATAATCGAATGCAAACCTCTCAGGGGGCTTTCATCCAGTATCTTATAATTATTCATTCATTCATTCAACAAATGTTTACTGAACACCCACTTATGTATGCTAATATTTTACCGATGGTAACCGGGAAGGAAGTATATTGGTGAATGGAAGAGAGAATAGATTTAAAACCAAGCTCAAAAGGCCTGGACAGAAAAGAGCAGCATTGTTATGGGATTTATTTCAATATATTAAAGGGTATTCACTTTTATTGTGCAATATTCTAGAGCCCTGTTCTAAAAATGAAATGGAGGTTTTCTCTAGTCTACCCAGTTTTAGAAGTATGGCTTTTGTCACATTTCCATGCCCAAAGCATCTCGATGGTTTGGGTCGTCTTACATAGGTGTGGGGCAAACGCTGCAGGGAATTAGATGGGAGGGTCAGGCCCACTGCTCACATGTTAGAGTCTACCAGTGTTACAACATGTTCACTGTGCTCTCAAAGACACAGCTTTCACACAGAACAAATAGTGGATGTTTACAACAGTCTTCTTTTGTTTGCTTTGTATTCTGTTGTCCCATAGACGAGGACCAAGAGGCCAATCTGGTCTGACTAAACTACCATAGTCTCTGAAAGTATGTTGGCAAGGGGCTGATGTTCTTCAGAGGGAGCAATGAGTCTCCCCTTCATACTATGTGGGGGTAGAGGGTTGGCTTGTTCCATCCCCTGCATTGAGCTCAGTGACTTAACTTTATTCCATATGGTTGTTCTCCAATATAAGTAAAGTGGAGATGTAGACTCTGAAGAGGATTTAGACACCACATGCATTAGGGGGTGAGCAAGGAGGCTGTGATGGTGTCCCTGATGTGATCGATGGAATAATGATGGGCAGAGAGGCTCAGTCACAGGTGCTTAACCTTCAACACCCAGAAGGCCTACTCTGGCCAGACAAGTGACACATGATTAATTCCTACTGTAGCTGGGTGTGGGAGGGGACAGAAATAACTGATAAATGTTTATCTCCCTGTAGTGGGAGCCAAAAGCTCCCACCTAATTCCATCAGCAAGACCAGCACAGGGATGGGCATGCCATGGCCACTTGGTATGTCCCACAGAAGGAATATGGAGCCCAGTTCTCATCTCATTTTGTCCCTCATGCTTGAAAAAGAAAAAGTCAGTTTGCTTGTTTCTAATCTTGATTGTGTGTTTCTGGTTATGAGTTGAGAGGGGGGTGGAGTTTAGCTCCCCATTCATCATGACTGTGTTAGACTTCCCCAAGGCCACCACTGGAGACTATGAAAAATAAAATCCACAGGGAAAAATGAGTCCTGACCCTTCTCCAGCTGGCCACTCAGTGTCCTGCATTCTTCCTGCTTCAAGGGTGTCCTGTGTCTCGGAGTCTAACCCTCTAGAGTCAGGGCATTCCAACGATGCATCTTGAACCATGGAAGGCTCAGACCCTCTGTATCAACATCACTCATGTTCCTCCTCTTAGCATTCACTCCAAGCTACTGTCTTCCATTTGAAAAGATCAAATTGCTCTCCAGAACCAGGTGTGTGCAACTCCTTCATGCTCAGAGGAACTCTTCCTTTGAAGCAGTCTTCCCTATCATGTACACACAGAGAACTTGTCCTGCAGAGCTTCAACAGCCTGGCTGGAGAGTTTGGCTCTGTCCTGTAGGCATGGGGCTCTGGTCAAGTTCTGAACACCTGAGTTTCCATCTGTGAATAGGGCTTGTGGTATCTCCTGCAATGGCCCTAGGGAGGAGGATTGAGGGATTATACACAGAGCACTTTGCATGGTGTTTGGTACATGGGTAACACTGGGTAAATGAGAGACATTAATTTACTGTTGAAACTTAAACATGTTTAAAAATTGTGATAAAATATGCATTACATACAATTTATCATTTGGATCTTTTCTGCACTGACTACATTGACACTTGAGTGCTCCCATTGCCACGATCCAGCCACAGAAATATTTTCATCTTGCAAAACTGGAACTCTGTACTTGGTAAGAGGGACTTGGTGTTCCCTGTGGTGTTCTGCCTCCTGTTGCTGACAGCCTGACTTCTTTAGTCCCTGTGTTCTTTATTCTGTGACTGGCTCATGGTCTCTAAGGTAGCAGGTGTCAGCATTTCCTGCTTTTTGAGGACTGAATGATATTCCACAGTGCCTAACTTTGTTTACCTCTTCATGAGCATTTCCCACCTTTCATCTGTTGTGAATGAGTCTGCATGGATTTAGATGTGCAAATGAGTCTTTGAGACCTTATTTTCAGTTTTTTGGATCTTATCTCTTGGAGCAGAATTGCTGGATTCACAGGCAGGTTTATGGCTCAAGTTACAAGGTTTGGGACCTCAAAGGCAGAAGTGAGCTTGACTTCCTAGCTCAGTCAGAGGTCTAACTATGGTCTGGACAAGAGCTCAAGAGGCCTGTCTAGCTTTGTGTGGGAATTTTCAAGTACTACAATGATAAGTCATCTATAAATTATTTTGTGTTATGTTTCTCAGGAGTGTTGATCAGGGTACCACCCCGATGAAACAGTGGGCTGTCCCAGGCTATCCCAGTCAAAGTTCATCTGTCATACCAAGTGATGTCTTAAGCATCCCTCCCCCTTCTGTTTGGAGAACCTCCTGGAGCCATGTTTTGGGGTGGGTCTGCTGGTCGCAGCTTTCTTTAAAGGACACGTTATCTTTGTGTGTGTGTATGCATGTATGTGTGTATATATAGCATTTTTATGTTTGTGTAGGCGTGTGCTTGTGTTGAGTGTAGGTTTATATACACATGTGTGCATGTGGAGGCCAGAGGTTGACATTGGGTGTCTTCTGGAACCCACAGAATGACTAGGATGACTGGCCAGTGAACTCCAGGCAATCACCTGTTTCTGTTCTTCCCTGCCCTAGCTCTGGGCTACAGCTGTA